CCTCTTCGGCCGTCTTGGGGCCTTCTTGGGGGCCTCTTGGGCCGTCTTGGGGCGGTCTTGGAGGCCTCTTGGGCCGTCTTCGAGCGCCGGAAGCACGAAAAGGCGAGAACGCCAAAGCCTTCAAACACCCGAGTGAAGATCAGCGATTTTGGCCTCTTGGGGCCCTCTTGGGAGGCCTCTTCGAAGCTTCTTAGGGGCGTCTTGGAGGCATCTTGGGCCGTCTGAAGGCGGACTCTTGGGGGCAGCCTGGGACCATCTTCGACACCATCTTTGGTCTTCCGAGGCTGTTTGGGAGCCCCAACAGATGTCAGATGGTTTGGAAGCCGTCCTTTTGGGGCTTGTGGGCGCTTTCGGGGTCGTCTTGGGTGCACTCGGCGGCCTTTGGGGCGCCTGCTGCTGGTCTCAGGGGCTTTGCCTGGGCGGAATGCTCGAAACGTTAATGTTTCCACTCTCGTTCCCGTGTTGACGCCATTTTGGGGCCCTCTGGGGGCGTCGTGAGGGACTTCTTGGGCGTTGCTGGGGCCCCCTTGGGCAGTTTTGCAGTCCTCCTGTGCTCCGGGGCCGTTCTGAATCGATCTTGGGGCCTTCGAGGGCGTCTCCCACGCTGTGGAAGCGTGAGGAGCGAACCTGCTCCAATCATATGTTCCCCAAGGGAATGGGGCGATTTTGTTAGTCGGGCCCCGCCGAGGCATGCTCTTGGAGGCGTATTTTGGCGTCTTGGAGGCGTCTTGGGCTGTCTGGGTCCAGCTGGGGGGCCTCGGAACGCCTTTTCGGCGACTGTTGGCCCTCTTCGACCAGCTCGGGGGCCCCGTTGCACAAGCTCGAGGGCCTCTTGCGTCCCTCCCAGAGCCTCCCTCCCTTTTGGGAGCCCACTTGCGGATCGTCGGGGGCCATGGGGATTGGGGTAGAATTCCCTGTCTGGGCATCAGTGGGACGTGGAGTTCGAGCATCTCGTTCCCAAAGCTGACGACCGATTCTTTTTCAGGATGAACGCTCAGATTCTGTTTCCGAGGTATATGTTGTGATGCGGAGTTCGAGCATTTCGTTCACAAGCTGACGAGGAGGTCGCGGGGATGAGCTGCGACCTACTCTATAGTTGTTCATGAGGAAGTGTTAAGACTGTGTTTCCAGTTGTATGTTGTGATGTGGTCGAGCACTGCGTCTCAAACTGACGATTTGGTCCTGGCGATGAGCTGCGACCACATTGACAGTTGTTTTCCATGATGGAGTGCTCAGGCACTGTTTGGTTGTATGTTGTGTTGTGGAGTTCGACCACTTCGTCTGTAGCAGCTGATTTTCGGGTTGGGGCGATGAGCTGCTACCTACTCGTCATTTTTGTTTTTAAGATGCACTGATCATCTGTGCTTCTGGATGCACGTTTTGATGTGCAATTTGAGCACTTCGTCTTGCAACATGTAACATTCGATCTCGGCGATGAGATGCGACCTAGTTTACACTCTTGTGCATGATGCAGTGCTCAGGCTGCGTATCTCGATGTATGCTGTGATGTTGAGTTCGAGCACCCCGTCTTCACAAACTGACGATGGGGTCGCGGCGATTAGCTGCGACCTAATCAACAGTTTTTCTGGATGAACTTCTGAGACTGTGGTTCTGGGTGTATGCTCTGATGTGGAGTTCGAGCATTTGCCTTTCAAACCTGACGAGAAGGTCGCGGCGATGATCTGTGACTTGAATTACATTTTGTCATGGTGAAGTGCTCAGGCTGTGTTTCTGCGTGTATGTTGTTATGAGGGAGGCTCGGCCCGAGCGTCGGTTTCGAGAAAATCATCCTGTAACAGAAAGTGGGGAAATAGCGAAGAGGCTCTCGGCTTCGCGGCCTGCGTACAGTGCAGCAGGCACGTCACGAGATGATGATGCTGTCGCTCTTAGCATTTCTTGCCCTCTGGCTGTGTTCCACAGCTGTCAGCGACGCGGTCGCGGGTGTTCAATGTTGATCGCCGTTGTCGCCGAGCTCTGCGCTCGGATTGCGGCTGTTGCTTTAGAGTTAACGAGTCACGCGGCGTCATAATCCAGTGTCCGGTCATTTCTTTCAGTGGTGCCCAGCGTTGTCTCGGCTCAAGCTGGTCCTGACGCTCGCTTTGGGATGAGACGGTTTTTTAGTGAAACCTGCGGATGGACGCTATTTGCGACGAGTGGGTAAAGTATCCATCTGCCTGCGGCAAATCTCGCCGCCGTGCCAGCCCACCGTTCTGGGTGGCGACTGTTCGAATGGTCGTAGGAGTCTGTCACGTGCGACACCTCGTGTCTCCAGACTTGGGGGAAACGTGATAAGGATGATGTGAATGATGATAAGAGTGATGATGACGATGCAGATGATAAACATGATGATGATGATGATGATGATGATGATGATGATGATGATGATGATGATGATGATGATGATGATGATGATGATGATGATGATGATGATGATGATGATGATGATGATGATGATGATGATGAGTTCAATGTACCCCTTCGCACCACCTGGTCCCTGCCCTTCTCACCATCACTTCACTGAACTGCCCCATGTGCTGTATTGCTTGCGACTCGCTTGTTACCTGAAGCTGTTTGGTTCAGGTGCGACGGAAAAGGAACGTGCTGGCTCGCACACTTCCCTCGTCGTCGTCGTGTCGTCGGCCGGTCGGCCTCCTCCCTTCAGGGTTGCATCTGTTGCTTGCTTAACGGCATTCTCTTTTCTTGCCCATGTCCTCTGCGAAGCCCATCGGCCATGGGACATCATCGGGACATATTGCAGGAATGGCAAATATCCAGGCAAAATATTGGTTATCAGCCGAAACTGCGGCACAGCCGTTCGGTTCACGGAGTATGGGATCTCAAAAAGGAAAGTTCGGAAGGACAGATCGTCAAGGGCCTTCCGAACATGATGATACAACGAGCGCTTTGGATAGGCGAAATACATCGAGTATTCTTCCCGAGAAGAAAACATAAGAGAAACTGTTTGATTTGACAGGGGGATATTCATCAGTTGATTCAGACAGAATAGCGAGAGGGGGCGATCCAGTAAGGCCCCCAGGGCCGGACGTTCCAGCTCCAGAGGGTTCAATGCTTTTGATTCGCCAAGAACTTCAACCAATAGGACCACCGGCAGTTCTTCGACACGGGAAGTTTGCTGGAATGCCGGCCCAATGCGCCCCCCCTGCGCCGAGAATCGATGACCGGGGAAATCGCGCAAACCGGGGGGTTCATGTCCGAGGCCCGTGTGTTCTCGATGCTCGAACGTTTGCCCCAAAATGTAGTATTGCATGGTTTTGTAATGATTGCATCACAATGGAAGATCCTAACTGCCGTCATCTTGCGATTCAGGAATGGACTGAACAGGCAATATCGAGAGCAACTGAGGGCTGCAAGTGCACGCACGCAACACATTCTTGCTGAGGCGCACGTCAATAAGCAAGCGGCCGAGGGGCCCGGCGCCGACCTGCGATTTCCGAAGCCGGAATGCAGATGATTGCGCAGAGGATGGAGCGTGAGAAGACCGTCGCTGTCGAAGATGCGCGCAAGATGATACGGCGTGCTGAGGCCAGCGCGGCAGGCGGCGCGGATGAAGCAAATGGGCGTCTTGCTAAGGAGGAGAATGAAAAGTTGAGGATCCAGAGCGCGGCAGAGAAACGGGTGATTGACTCCCAACAGAAAGCTGAGATGAAAAAAACTGCTGATAGAGAGATGGCTGATGCTGCGAGGCGGGGGGGAGAGATAGAGGCCCCGCAAAAATTCGGCACGGGAAAAGTGGGAGCTCCGAAATCAGCTCGAAGCTGCGAGACTTGAGGCCGGGAGAGTGCGGTCAGAAGCGTTGCGAGCCCTTAGAGAACAAGAACATAAAATCCAAGTGACTAGAGCAGAGGGCCAGAAGAAAATGGCCGAGGCATTGGGTCGTTTGAAGGGGCAAGCAGGGGAACATATATGAAACAACGTCGTAGCAAATCAGGCTGTGAGCGAAGAAAAAAGAAGGTTGACACATGACCTTGAGCAAAGAAGAATGGAAACAGAGGTTAGCTCGACAGCGGCACAGCCGACACATGCTGAGCCACCTCCTGTTCCAATGGGCGCCCGGCCTGATTGGAAGAAGAGCGCGTTGAGGAAGAGTGCGTCGTCGGGCGACTCGAATCAGACATGTTACCTTTGTATGCGACCTTCGCCCAATGTCCTGCATGAGTTTCTTGAGGCGCGCGCGTGATTTTCATCTGGTCTCGGGTGTCAAGCGCTGCGGTGAACGTGCTTGGGAGAAAACTTTGGGTCACCAGGGCGAGGATCACGTGATAATTGAACCTGGTGCTCAAAATAAGAGCGGCGCCATATGTCTTTCCTGGCCCAGCTGTTGATGGGGGCTTCAGTAGCTGAAGGGGCGCGAGGAGTTAGTCCTGGGAATGTTCCTTTCAATGCGAAGATGTCGAGTCAATCGCGCGCTCTCGGTTTGCCGGGCCGCCTCCCTTTCGCCGTCGGCGCAGCCGATGCGGTTGGAGGGTGGGTAATTCAGGGTGGTCAAGACGACGATCAGAGGGATGGCCAGGGTACGTCTCCGAGCACGGGAATGCCTGTTGTGTTAGCGCGGGGCGATGCGGGCAAGTCCAAGCCGCCCAGAGGCCTTCCAGGGGGGCTGGGTGATGATGGCGACCTAGGCGGAGATTCCGGCGGGGGACCGAATGGTCTGAACGACCCCGCATGGCGAGCTTCTAATGCCAACGCAATGGGCGTCGCTTGGGGAAGCTATGCTAATAACAAGGAGTTGCATTTACTCGATGTACCAAGCGTTCAAACCCTTCGATTATGGAAGCAGCATGGCGTAATAACTGTAGCTGGATCGCGGCATGATGTCCACGCGGCGCAATCGTGGGTCAGTGAGGCAATGAGTTCTGAGGTGCCTAATGAGAATCTCAAAGACTCTGGTGGACTGATGCGTCTTGATATGGTGAAAACGGCGAATTTACTTGAAGTTTGCTAATATGAAACGGAATCAACGTCTATCGGTACAACGCGCGCGATGTCCATCGTAAATGAATCGCATGGAACATTCATTTCAGGCCGAAGATCGTCTTTTAACGGGGCGCGAGATGATGCGGGCCATCTGTGTCTGGTGCTCTGTTAGGTCTGAGAGCGGGCAACGTTGGATATGTCGAGATCTCTTCAAGTTAGCCATTGATAGAAGCCCGATCAGGACCTGTATTACTTCGATGGTGAATGGATGGAAGGATATCAAGAGTTGTATGGCGCCAGGGAACCAACATGTGAAATGAAGGCTTCGATACGCGCTCGTTTCTCAAACAAATGCGCCAGGTGCCTGGGCTTCATTATGTCGTGCAGTGGTATGACTTGTCCACCGATCCTCCAGGCGCAGGAATGAGAACCCATCAATGGTTGTTGCTCCAAGTTGAGTCCCTTATGATGCGTGACAGAGAACAATGGGCCATTTCGGAACATGCTTCCACCCTAAATTCCAGGAGTAGGCAAGCTCGTTTGTCAGGTGGAAAGATTGAGGGCGGCGGGGGCGGAAAGAGAGCCTCTGCCATGGCGGCGACGATCCAACGATTAGGATTGCCCGCCGATGCGTTGGCGAGTGGACGCGCGAAGAATGAAACGACCTGTAAGTTCGTAAGCCAAGGGAAGAGTTGTCCTGCAGCAGGTCAAGATTGTCCTTATGATCGCAGGAAGCCTGAGGCGCCCGCCGCACCGGCGCAGCCGTGGGCTGGTGGCGACAGTCGGAGTAGTGGCAGAAATAATGATCGCAACGGTAAAAACAATCGATCAGAGAGCAGTGGCTCACAAGTTAAAGATCGGCCTCGTTCTTCAGCGCCATCGACTAAGTTCAGGAACTCGAACGCGACGCAGTTCTGGACGAGGACCCCATCGGTAGCCTCGAAGGAACAACAGGGCACGATGGTATGTTATGCATGGTCACGTGGTCATCGGAACCGTGCAGGCCCTCGGGGCGGCTGTTATAGGCTGCGCAGAGGCCTGACCGATGCTGAAAAGATCAGACGTGATAAGTATGGGGAGGCACGGCTGAAGGCTGGCAAGTCTCTAGGATATCAGAGAACGACTCGACAAGCCGATTCCGCAGCGGCATTTCCGGCTGGCGCCCCAAGAAGCAGGGGTTCGAGCAAGGATCGTGGGAAAACGCGAGGTACAGGCAAAGGGAATCGGAAGGGCAAGCCGTGCACAACGCTCACGGAGACAGGATCTTGTTCGCGGGGCAAAGATTGTTGGTTTGCGAAGAATGCACTGACTCACCCGTGACGATGGCTTCGCGCTGACCTGTTATGGGTTAGCGCTAGGGAGCTCATCGCATACCTTTACCTTGCCTTGCTGACACTCATTAACTTTTTGAGCGGTTGGCCACGGCTATCCGATTGGCCAAGCAGTCGCAGGAAGGCACATAATGGCCTCGCTGGCGCAGCCAGTCGAGTCATCGCTGCCTGCCCAGCACCATTGGCTATAATCTCACGTGGTCCACGTATCTCAGGAATGCGACCCTTTGAGGTTATCTTCGGCAACGCAAGTTTTTAATTCGACCAGATTTTCTGAGGGAGCTGTCCCCGCTTCTGATCTTCAACAGGAACGAGGAGAGAGATTGACCAACCTTGTCACTATCTTTGTTCATGTAGAACCTCTTCCTAGAGAGGCAAATGTATTCTTCTGTAAAGAACCCCCAGGGAGAAGCTGCATCAAAGCTGCGAAGTCGGAAAGATGCAAACATAGAGTGAAGTTTCGCCAATCCACCCGCGAGCCATCCATTTCTCGGAGGAAGACTCGCAGCCACAGCCCGAGGGAGCTGCCTCCGAGCGCCTCAGAAAGGTGGAAGTTCCCAAAGGAGGAACACAGACGGATGAAAGCTGGATGGAAGTTTGGATCGAGAGATGTACAGCTGAGAGCGTCTGATCTAGTCGAAGAAGTATGGCACCTTCGGCTTATATCTGAAGAAAACGGATGTGCCACCCAGCTTGGCACAGCCGCCGCCGGGTGTAGAGAGGAGTTGCTTGTGCACCTCGGCGCGCTGAGGTTCATGGTCGACGCGGGCTGTGGATGTAATCTCATCGCAGAAAGATGAATTCGTGCTGCAGGCGCAGTGGGTAGAATCGAACGGTTGAGTGATTCGATCACCTTGAACACTGCCGGTTGTTCCTCACGGGCCCTCGGATCAGTT